TTAGTAGTAGTTAATAGTTAGTAGTAGTGGTTAATAGTAGTAGTAGTTAAAAGTTAGCAGTAGTGGGTAATAGTAGTAGTAGTTAATAGTTAGAGTAGTGGTTAATCGTAGTTGTAGTTAAAAGCTAGTAGTATTGGGTAATAGTAGTAGTAGTTAATAGTTAGAGTAGTGGGTAATAGTTAGTAGTAGTAGTAGTAGTAGTAGTAGTAGTAGTAGTAGTAGTTAATAGTAGTAGTGGTTAATAGTTAGCAGTAGTTAATAGTTAGTAGTAATGGTTAATAGGAGTAGTAGTTAAAAGTTAGTATTAGTGGTTAATAGTAGTAGTAATTAAAAGTTAGTAGTAGTGGTCAATAGTTAGTAGTAGTAATAGTTAATAGTAGTAGTGGTTAATAGTTAGTAGTAGTTAATAGTAGTAGTGGTTAATAGTAGTAGTAGTAGTTAAAAGTTAGTAGTAGTGGTTAATAGTAGTAGTAGTTAAAAGTTAGTAGTAGTGGTTAATAGTAGTAGTAGTTAAAAGTTAGTAGTAGTGGTTAATAGTAGTAGTAGTTAAAAGTGAGTAGTAGTGGGTAATAGTAGTAGTAATTAATAGTTAGAGTAGTGGTTAATCGTAATGGTAGTTAAAAGTTAGTAGTAGTGGGTAATAGTAGTAGTAGTTAATAGAGTAATGGTTAATAGTAGCAGTAGTTAAAGGTTTGTAGTAGTGGCCAATATTTAGTAGTAGTATTAGTTAATAGTTGGTAGTAGTGGTTAATAGTTAGTAGTGGTGGCTAATAGTTACTAGTCTGTGGTGGGCTGCACTAAATTTCAGTTGTACAAGTACAATTTCTAAAGCACTAGTCAAGTTATTTAGGTCTGCAAGTTCAAAAGCATATATGATTAATAAAACTTAGCAGAGCTAATAATAAAGCGCTAAACAATCTCTGTTTACCAGACAACATCCAGGTAAGAGAAAAGTCAGCACTTTACTACCATCTAGTGGTAAGATTATTTTCTTTGACAGATTGGCACATATCAGTGCAGAATGGGGAGGTGATTCGTAGAAACAGACTTAAATCATGGTTGTAAAACAAAAAATAGTTGTGGATTACTAATTCTGCTGCTTTTTGGTCATTTTCTTATGTTTATGGCAGGACTTCAGTAAAAAAACATGCAGATATATTAGTAATTTTAACCTGTTTATTTAATATTTATTGCTGCTGTGTCTCTCGAAGGGGAGGTACAGTAGCTACAAACTGCACTAATTCTAATTGCTTCCTGCCACGCAAAGAATTGTGGGAACACTACAGTCTCTACTAAGTTAAAACAGTCACCGAGAAGAGTCAGAAGTGTAAAGCTCTGTGAACGCAATGCTAACTGAGGGGTTGCTCTTTCCTCGCAATGAAGGTTCATTGTGTTAAGTAGAGCTGGGTTTCCCCTTCAATGTTCAAGAAAACCATGACAAAGTTTTAATGAATTATGTGGCTACAAAACATAGTGAGACTAGACGGCTCTTTCTCTTTACTTTAGACGAAGTAGACATTTGGATGTGAAACATTATTCGCAATTAGCTCTACTCAAATCTAAATTTAAAAAGTGCAAATCCGCACATCATTTTATGAAATTAGTAAAACCCCTAAAATGCAAAGGAGAAATTTAGGTCCACAATTAGCGCATTTGTGCTTTTAGGGGACTAGTGCCCACCACTGTAGTAGTAATAATTAATTTTTAGGAGTAGTGGTTAATAGTTGGAAGTAATGGTTAATAGTAGTGGTGACCAATCATTTGTAGTAGTAATTAATATTTAGTAGTAGTGGTTAATGGTTAGTAGTGGTTAGTCCTGTGTGTTCACTGTTGTAAAACATAAAATGTAGAGTTTACGTTGACAGCTGCATCAAAGCAACCAAGACAAACTGTAAGTTTTTTATCTGCCATCCTGTTCAGTCTAACATGTATCTTCCTATTCCTGTTTTCATGTAGAAGCCACACATTAATGTGTGTGAGATGTAAGCTGTCACTGGGCCATAAATGAGACTTTTACTAAAATAAACATAAAAGTTTTCTACAATGAGCCTCACAACAAGCATTCAGCATTACCAGGACAGGCATCCCTCCAACACACTGCTGTTCTGACCAGACCAGAACTGCACCTTCTGATTGAATCTGATTGGTTCTGCTGGGTTAGATGTGATGTTGACCGGGCCTCGCATGTTTGGCTATTTGTTGTCGTTTGTTGACTCTGTTTAGTTGTTTTTTCAGTGTTGTGTTTTACTCGTCAGAAACAAATTAATAATTAATAATGTGTTGTTTTTTTGTGACTTGTAGAATAACGGAGTAGATTTCAACACTGAACCTCCTCCTGGAACACAGACAGGTAGGCTACAACTCAGTGCTCATGCTTTTAACTTCCCTTTGAAAACAATCTTTATTCATTTTTAAATATTAACATTTTCTGTACAGGATGATTTGAAACTATGAAAGCAATCAGTGAAATTGTATTTCATGTATTAATACAGTTTAACTTCTGAATGTCTTTAGTGAGGTAGTGATAAATAAACTTTTAACTGAATCTTTTACAGTGAAAAAAAAGGCTGCACGGAAACTAAAATGAGCAAAACAGTTCCTAAAACTTAACATCAGCTAAACAGAAGCTTTTTAGTCTCTTCAGTAGAAAACGAAACCAAAATATTAGTTTATTTAGTTTATTTATTTCTTCATCATCAGTGACTTTTTTAAGTGAAGAGAAATATATATATTAGTTTATTTATTTCTTCATCATCAGTGACTTTTTTAAGTGAAGAGAAAATAGAGAAAGAGAGAAAAACAGAGAGAGAAGTAATTAGAAAGATTGAAATAGAGATTAGAAGTATATTAAATATACACCAGCAAAACACAGGACCACACACCAAACATCTGTCCACTCACCTGAAAAATAAATTGATAAACACATGGAGGGCATATATAAATATATACACATACCCATACATATATAAAGACATACATACATACATGCCTACATTCATAAATATTGTCTGTATATACACACAGACATATATACACACTCAGTGACCAGTCAGAACCCCCGGATCAGAACACCTGTYTGTGAGCAGTTGTGAACATGCGTGTATATACAAGATTTCTCCAATGGAATATTTAATAGTGACTGTGGAGGACCGAGACCCAACCCCCAAGACACGAGGCAGACATAGAGAAGACCAGAGCCCCAAGGGCCTGAGAGGGATCCCGAGCGCAGAGCCCCAAGGGGCACCCGCACGGGAAGATCCGCCCACCCACCCCCCAGTTCAGACCATAGGGGAGAACTGGGAGAATCCCCCCAGCGATCACACACACAGCCCCCGGGGCCAGCGACAAACTCATGGGCCCCACCGGCACCCGCCATACCAGAACAGATCCAGGAAAGGGCACAGAGGTCMGGGCCCCCAGGGCGCACCCCCTCCAGGCCAAAGCCCGACAGGTCCAGAGGCTCCGAGCCCCAACAGGAAGTCACCAGGCCAGGCCAGCACACACCCCAGCGCCCAGCCCCAGACCCCGGGAACCCCCAGCACGCCGGCAGCCAGCTGCATACCCCACCGGGGTGCCGAGTAGCAGCAGGCCCCCAGATAAACCAGCAGTAGGGGCAGCCCAGACCGCAGCCTGACAAATACTCTTAACATACACAATCGCACCATCCCACCCTCATCCCACCCCCAGCTAAACAGAAGCTTAAAGCTAAAGTAAAACCAAAACCAAAAGTTAAAATGAGCAAAACAGTAGCAATGCAATAAAAAAAAGAATGAAAGTATTTGATAGGAGGGTTATATCATATCTGCCTAATTTTAGACAAATATAACATTTTAAGTTTTTGAAAGTTTTCAATTATTTAAAAATGACTGTCTTATTCATGTCTTTTATGGGTAAGGCCCCACCACCCCTAGAGGATTTTATTAAAAAGCCAAAAGGTTTATATAGCACTAGGAGTCAACCTCCAGCGTGGACTGTGAGGTTCAATTGAGAAAATCTTCTTTCTCACAGATGGTTTTTAAAGGATGTACAGTAAGTGCTGGAACACATGGCCTGTTACCATTAGAGAGAGCTCCACCTATCTCTCTTTTAAGGGACAGCTTGGTTAGTAAGCAGCACTTTGATCATTGAATGTTAGAAACCTTTGGAATTTTGTGTTAGTTATTTTTGTGATATAGTTTTGTACACATTTTTAATTAGTATTTTCAATATAAGCTTCTTAAAATGTGTGTTTATAACTGTAAATATAGTTTTTATTTGTTTTTATTGTAATTCTCATTTTTACGTATGAAATTATAGTAACTTTTGTATTTGTTGTGTTTGTTTTATGGGACTACGGATGGAAAAATAACATTTTTCTAAATCAGGTATATTCACAACATTGTATATTCATTGATATGCAATGTCCCATTTAAATAAAATCAATCAATCAATCAATCAATCAATCAATCAATCAATCAATCAATCAACCAATGCAGAAAAATGTTGGCTAATTACTAGTGCTATAGGGAAAAAATATGTAAGTAATGAGAAAGTAGCTAAAAAGAAAAAAGACAAATAATAATAATAATAATAAAAAAGTAGGTAGCTTAAAGCTTGAACAAGTCAAAAAGGAAAAGATAAAGTAAGGATGCTGAAGTAGTACTCTTACTAATACTAAGCTGTTCATTGACATTTGCCATCTGTTCCTACATATAAAAATAATACGTATAATTTTTATATTTATTATTCTTTTAAAAAGTATGAATCTATTTATTAACCAGTTTTATTTTGTTTGTCATGATTAGAGAACTGCAGCCATCAGGAAGAAAAGCAAACTATTTTACCTTCCTGTCCCTTCTAAAACCCACATTTTACTCATAAATACAGATATTCATCTGTAAACAGAAACATTTCATCATTCTGGGAACAGTATATTTATTTACAATATGTTGAATTTATTTTGTATTAAAATATTAAGAAACAAAAGTAGCAGTAAAAAACCCAAAACTTCTAATAATGATATTAACGATGTGTCAGCCTTAGTAACAGTAGTTAATGTAATAACATCCAGAGGGAGGGGAAGTTTCTGACACACAAAGAAACATCAGGATTAGAAGAGCTTCTTTCTTCTTCTTCTCTTTAGGTCTGTGTGGAGTGATCGAACAGAAGGATGAAGGAGGAGAACAGTCAGATTCAGCCTGTGGAGCTCAGACCCAGCCTGGACAAGCTGCACTCTGCGAGTACGTGAGCAGAACCACAGCCAAACAGCACTGAACTAGTGTGTGTGTGGGAGGAAGGTTCTGATGGAACAGGTTCTGGGGTCTCATTTATAAAGGATTGCGTGGAAACCATACTAAAAGTGAACGTACAGCCAAAAGGCAGAAATGGCGTACGCCAAAAATAATTCAGATTTATAAAACAGTGCGTACGCATGTTTCTGAGCATCTTTCCTTCATAAATCACAGCTGCACGTCAGAGTTTGCGCACGAGGTCCCTCCTCAGGTTCTACTCTCTACACGCCCACACTCAACCATAAACAGTCAATGTAAAGTACCTCATGAATGTTAAGATGTATTTAAATTCGTCAGCTGATCAATGCCAACAAAAGTGATTGGTTCAGACACGCTCCGTCGTGTGTCTGGAGGTTGACAGGTGCTGACTGACAGCTGCTCACGTGAACTGAATGTCTGTAACTGACACAGATTTTCCCTCATTTTGCTTTAGAGTAATCTAACGATTTTCATAAAAAAAATACTCAGCTTCAAATTAATTTTCTCCCAGAGCCTGCAGGACGATAAAAACAATAAAAATAAATATAAAAATAAGTCAGATAAAATTAGAAATAAGTCCACCGCTCTTCTCCTCATCCTCTCCCCCTCCTGCCTGCTCTGTTATGCGCGGCAGACACCCCCGCCCCGCGCACACACATACACGCCAAACACGGACTTTAAACATGAAGTTTTATAACATCCACACTGGCGAGGTGGATGCGCCCTGCGCGTGTATCCAAAGCGTGACTTTTGCTGTCCTGCTGTTCTTGTCGAAGAGGGGCCTGTGGGTCAGGGAGGGGTCTGTGGGTCAGGGTCGTCTGAGGAGGAAGCAGATGAAGGGAKTTGCGCACGGGAACTTTTATTTAAGATWTAAGTTTTTTCATTTCAAAGGTCCGCATGGCTCAGCAGCAGAAGCATAAATATTACTGTTAAGAAAGCTGATGATAAAGTTGAATAAAAATCTAAGTCTTATGAAGGTAAATTAAATATCTGACAGTGATCATTACACAGTGTGGCTCTAATTCTTCACTTCACCATCTGTGTCGCAGTTTCCCATCTCCAAAATGAGCGTACGCATGGGTCAGAGCTGGCAGGAGGCACCGCACATTTTCACGTCAAGTTTGGATTTTATAAATCACAACCTTGGCGTAAAAAGTGGCGTACGCAAGTTTCTGGGCTCAAATTGTGTGTACGCCAGTTTTATAAATCCGACCCCAGAACATGACGTTTGATCAATGACAAGCTGGAATAAAAAACAAGCTAAACTGAAATATTTTTTGCATTTTCAAATCTTGATACTTGCACCTCTCAAGTAGAGATAATTGCATGAAAATGTAGAAAGTTGGCTGAAAAATGACGACTCCAGTAAAGTATAAATCACCAAAATTTCTACTTAAGTAAAGTAGAGTAAAGTATTTGTACTTTGTGAACCTCTAAACAGAGAGGAACAGCAGCAGTGAGGGTCATGTGGTTAGTTTCAGATCTGTTTAACTGACTGAGTTTTAGACATTTTTGTGGCTTAAGTCTGTCGTACACAGCAATCTTGAACTGGGCCGACTCCAGTGATTATTTATTGGAAGACCAGTGGTTTATAAGATCATTTTCTCACAAACAGGGTTTATGGTGAAGTTTTAAGCAGAGATGTTGTGTAATGTTTTAAGATCCAAGTATCTGTGAGGATCAGTAAAACTGTCTCACTTTAGATGGACTTTCTACAGTCAGCTGGTTGTGGAACTATTTTGAATTAGATGGATTCCAAAACTGAACCCATTATAGATTCAATGATTGTGTGTTCCTGTAAAAGTCACCTACAGGTTTGTGATTTGTTTATTACCTCCGCCAAGGGCGAGGAGATAATGTTTTCGGTCGCATATGTCTGTTGCTCTGTCTGTGGACAACATTTATTAAAAACTTGTGACATTTTTACCACGTGTGTACTGGGCCAAGGAACACACTGTTAAATTTTGGTGATGTTCCGGATCACGATGCAGATACAGGAATTTTTTTTTCTTTTAACACTCTGAGATCGGCAAAGCTGTGATGCTTTCACAGGGCTTCTGTTAAAAACAGTGAGCTGGATTGGACAGCACGGATTTCAAACTTTATAAAAGTAATGTTAAAACCAGATTTAATGATGAATAATTTTTTGCCATAATGTGCGCATTTTTACACATTTGGTGCGCATTTAGAGAACGTTTTGTAACCAGGAAGTGCGTGAATGCACCATGAAACCTATTTTTCCCATTTCCTCAAACACACCACGTTTCCCAAAACAGTTTCTCCCTACTAGACTTGTAAACAGAGAGCTTCTGGTCAGGCCTCAAAGTTTGGAGATTGGGGGAGCCAGGAAGCACTTTATAAAGAGAGTCAAACCATTACAAACTCATACAAGAGGTTAAAACAGATGTTTTACATGATGAAATGTGTCTGATGAAAACTTTGGAGCTTAATCCGACACCAGTTTGACGATGAATAACATCAGGTGACGAGTCTGACTTTTGTTTTTTTTTTTTCACATTGGACTCCACCGAGAAGATATTCCATGCGTACTGCCTTAAATGTTCACTACGTCAGAACTTATTCGGCAAATGTGTTTCCATCTCTGCCTTTGTGCATTAACTCTATTACAGGATGGGGGAAATTGGTCTTGCTGGAGGTTTGCACTCTCCGAGTGCTTCTAGTTTATTTTTGATTTATTCAGAATGGACTTACCCGGTCAGGCCTGTATGTAAATGTGGTTGCAGAAGCTCACACCTGTCTCATTGTCTTTATCACATGATCCAGTTTTGGACTGATCATCCAAACAGGAAGTGGACAGATCCAGTTCTCTCAAACTGTCAGGCTTTTATGACTAATCTGGATTAGGATATGATTTGCTGCTGAGTGAATGTTCATATTAATGCAGATTGCATGTTGCTGTCTTCAGGAAACATTACCGGGAGTACCTGGTCAGCCTGATCAACAGTCACTCCATCGACCCCGCCCCCCTCTACAGCTCCAACGAGTTACTTCTGGCCTGCAGGAGGTACAAGGTTGATGACAGCCGTCGAGATGAAGAGGACTCCTCCACCTACTGCAGCAGACTGCTCAAGGTGTGTCTGTCACCATCACCTGCCAGCACAGCACCGCTGAGGTCGTGCTTCACAGCGGGTCGCTGGTTCCAATCCCGGGACCTGAGGAAAATCTCTAAACTTGTTAAATGTTCATTTTAAACAAGGGGTCAGTGTTTGATCCAGAGCCTCAGACTGTGTTGATCTAACGACCATCTGTCTCTGAACACGTCTTACTGAAACCAGTTTTTGTTTCTCTGCAGAAACTGATGGATGAAGTTCCACTCGGTGACAAGGTGCCGCGCAAAAAATGAAGAAACTTCCAATTTTCCTACAAATATCAGTTTTAAACTGAACATCCTGAAACTTACTGGAATGGGAGTCAACTACATCAGTGTCATGTCTGCATAGGTTTTGTAGCATTTTGATTTTAAAACACAGAACCAGACTGTACAGGACAAGTCATTCTCAGGGAAGTAGATGTTTTCTCTCTACAGAGATGTTATTTGTTAGGAGAGATGTTAAAATGTCTCTTCCAGATAGGGCTGCAGACCGTGGGTCCACCCCGTGTTTCTGAATTTCCAACACTACTTGAATGCATCATACTTCTTAATGATGTGCTGAGTACACTGTAGGGTTGCAGGAACACCCAGTGATGTCTGAGCTGACAGGCTGCACGTTTCTGCTGATTTTAGCTGAGATTTAGCTGTAAATAACATCATAACACTGAGATAACATTTAGTTACTCATCTGCATGGTGGGACAGTGGTTAGAGTTGGTCTCACGGCAAAGAGGGTCCCCTCCTGTCCAGGATGTTACCCACATAGTGACCCTTGTAAATAAAATGAATTGTTGTTTCACTTTTATTGTGTTGTATTTTTTTTACAATGTTATCATTCTGAACTTATATACAGCGAGTAAAATAAATATTGAACACGTCACCATTTTTCTCAGTAAATATATTACTAGAGGTGCTAATGACATGAAATTTTCACCAGATGTTGGTAACAACCTAAGTGATCCATACATACAAAGAAATCAAACCATAAATGTCCAGAAATGAAGTTATTTGTAATGATGTAACATTTGAAGCGATGCCTGTGTCGAGCAAAAAGGGACGTGCCAGATAAAGAGCCGGTTCGAGGCGTGTGTCATTACCGTGAAAAAGACGTGACTGATGACAAACGAGGCCTCAGATTCAGTGGGCCAAGTCTTCGTCTCATTTTGAGTGTAACAACCACCAAAGAGGGTTTGAGCCATTGATGTAGCCTCGCGACGCTTTGTGGGTTTTGAGTTGGCGTTTGGTGTTGTGGAAGGTGTCCATTGGTTAGTTAGTTAAGTTATTGGTTAAACAACTGTTCTCACGAAGGTATGCTGCACGCGCAGCAACTAACCTGCAAACAGCTCAGCGTCAGAGCCATGATAAATAAAGGGATAACC